CATTTTTGGAAATTTTGACAAATTTGGATGTATTCAAGGTGTTTGAAATGGGTTTTGATCAATTTTGGGTAATTTGGCAAAATTTGGGAATTTTAGCCAAATTTAGGTCCCAAGGGCTGTTAGGTAATTTGGAGGTGCCTCGGGGCAAAAGACCAAGTTAGGCATTTTACATAGAATTGGATAGATATCCATTCTAAATGAACCATGGATTAATATATTGTGAAGATATGGTGTACCCTAGCTCCAAGTCAACACCCAAGGTCAATCCTAAAGCCAAGTAATCCTATAGGGACTTTTCTTGAATTCTCTTATAATGATCTTATCTACTAAATGCTAGAGGTTAAGATCATTATGTGGAATTTCAAGTTGAGTAAAAAGAAAAGTTTTGAATTTCTAATGGTGGGGGTATCTTTTCTAATTTTCTAAGACTAGTCAATAGGAAAGTCCTATGGCTAGACCTAGGCTACTAAAGAAGTTTTCTAGACCTCAACCAAAAGTGAGGTCAACAGCATGTTTACTAATTTCGTGAAGGTAATTCCATATATTAACAAAAAAAAAATTCATTAAGTATAAATAACAAAATAGTGATCATATTCTCAAGATCAAATAATGTGCAGAAGATGCTGATGATAGTGATATCTCTAATCTATGATCATGTGATCTGAAGATACTAAATCATAGGTGATGAGTTAATGATTCATTGGTGGTGATGGATTGAAATTTTGATAATCATATTATTAAAAACAATTTCAACTTGGTTAGTAACCTCTTAAATTTGCAAAAAATTATCATTTCTATTTCATAATGAATGACTGATATGAAGCACAAATCAATAAATAATCAAGTTCTAGCTTAAACTATGTGCAGCTCAAGCACAACTGGTCATGCCCCTAACACAAGTCTGAATCCAACACCTTATATCTAATTTTCTAATTAATTTTAAGAAACAAACTTCGAGTTGAACACGAACAAAAATATGTAAATCGAGTTGAACCCAAACACATTATTCACGAGCAATTTCAAACAATAGTCAATTTCAAACGAGCTGAACACAAGTCAAGCCCGATTACAACCCTACAAACCAATATATAATTAAGTTCAAGCTCAAAACTATGGGCAGCTCAAGCACAACTGATTGAGCCCCTAACTCAAAGTTCATAAATCAAAACTAAGGGTGCGTTTGGGGCAGCTTGTGCTCATCCAGATAAGCCGCTTATCTGAAAATGCGAACCACGAGGTTCAACCCGCGTTACGTGTTTAGTGTAAAACACCACCTGCATTTTCGGATAAGCTACTCAAACGCTATTTCCAAACAGTGTGGTGACATTTTCTAAAATGCCACCGCAGCGGATAAGCTGCCCAAAGGAAGTCTAAGTCGGCCTCTTTACAAGGTGGTGGGAATCTACAACAAAACATGCAAAGAAACAGAGAGATGAGATAAAACAATAAGTAAACCATCAACTACAACTGCAAGCATGGCTACGAAATCCCCACTGTTTTGCCCAACAGCCACATGACCAGAGAAAACTCAATCATAAACAAAGCATGAAGCCATGTTCTATCAACCACGAACCCAAACACTGTGATCCCCGCCCTGTTGTTTTCCAGATAAGTCACTGCAACATAAAAAAAATACTATAATTAGCTAGCATCAAATCAACCAAATCCCTAATCCGTGCAACTTTTTAATTAACCTCACCTAGCGCTTGTCTCTTACGAAAAGAAATGGTGTGGATACTTGAGGAAACAAGCTTGGAGTCATGGAGCTCATCATCTCCTTCAACATCATCTTCTTCAAGTTCGTCTTGGACAGAATCATCATCATCTCTAGCTTCATTATCAGTGGCGGATGTTGCAGGTGATGGGATATCTGAAGAATCTTCATAAGAAGCAACTGTAGCCGATACGTGCCAGGTTGCTGCCAGGCTCGTTATTGCTTGAGCCTTATGTGTTATCTTAGCTGCACTATGTAGGCACATTAGCAGCCCGGTCACCAGCCCGGTTGAGCACAACTGCAATCATGCGTTTCACCACAATATTTAGGTGTTGTGTGACAACATATGAGATTTAAGATATTAGGATTTAGTAAATCCTATAAATCTGGATTTACAAAACCCTGGATGAGTTAAATCCAAAAATTTGTAATGTTATGAATCTGGCAATCTCTTCAAAGATTTAAGAAGTCGTTATAGTTGTTAGAGACTGTTTGAAGCCCGCAAAGTTAAATCCCAAGCCTCCAAAGCTAAATGAAGTGGTTTGTGGGATTCAAGATTTACGGGATTTACAATTGAAATTCACGACATCCGAAATTTATTTTATCCAAAATGGTCTTCTTTAAATCCTGCATAAATTTGGATTAAATTTATTGTCAGACAACCTCTTGTGCCGTGAATCTATTTGCTTTATAGTTGTTCGAGAGCAATTAAAAATGGAAACATCAAACAATAAACATAACTGAATTAAAATTAGTTTTCATTAGCTTATCTAGTTGATAAAGAATTGACCCCAAAAAAAAGTATTTTTTCTTTCTTCGATCAATGAAAAATTGAGTTTTTATCATCCTAGTAACCAATATATTGATTGACAGAGGAGGAAAAGCGGCTTACGGCGATCTCGCCGGCGTTGAAAAATTTGACGACCGCGGTGGGGCGGGTAGTGACAAGGAGAGTAACGAACTGGCTAACGGTGACGATGAGGACGCAGTATACGTTAAAATTTCGGTAACGATGACTTATGATCCGAAGCTCGCGGCGAATGCGGAGGTGGGCGCGGAGGATATAAGCAACGTCGGCGCCTTCGCTGAAGGCGCCGGCGAAGTCCTCCAGCCTCAGGATCTGCAGAAAACAAATGAGGCGAAATAGGACGCACACGAGGAAGAAGATGGCTGTTCTGTAGATCCATGAGGCGAGCTCCAGGAAGGCGAATACGCACTCGGCGAATACGCTGCTGCCCATGAAGAGGAGGGAAGGGGGCACGCGTTCTTCTCCGGAGAGGTACCAGGCGAGTTTGTAGGCGACCTCGCCGGCGAAACAGGGGAGGACGAAGATGGAGAGGATGCGGAAGGAGCGGTTGAGCTGATTGGTGTAGCCGAGGCGGACGCGCTCGCTCTCGAGGCGGAGCTTGTCGAGGAAGAGGAAGCGTCGGAGGCCATGGAAGCGAACAAAGGCGGAGAGGCAGAGGTATGAGAGGGCGGCGGAGCCGGATAGAGCGAGCTGGACGACGGAGTCGTACGCTCGACGAGAGGGGGAGTATGACATGAGGAAATGAGAGGCGAGGGGTACGGCGACGCTGAAGATGACGAAGACGGACCAGGATGAAGCTGCGTGGAGGCGATCCGAGTGATCGATGCAGAGCCAACGGAGGCAGGAGCGGAAGCTCTTGAGCTCGTCGCCGGAATGCGAGAAGCAACGCTGATACGCGCCCTTGCGCGGCAGGAGGGGTTCATCCCCATTGCCGTTGCGGCTAAAGGCTGCTGCAGCATTGGCCATTGCGAGGGGGGTGTGTGTGGAAAGGAAAAGGGATCGGCTTTCTGTGGTAGGGATGGGGTGGGAGGGAAGGAATGGGAAGCGGTGGAGAGCCGTTTTGAAAATGGGAAGGCTGTGCGCTCCCCGCTCATCTCCGGCTAAAATATGGGAATGAATTGGGCGGGGATGGAAAGAAAGCTCTGGCTGCTTTATAAAGTTGCTAAATTTGGAAGACGACACTCTAGCTGTCTATATTTGGTTCATTTTGAAATTGATTATAAAATATTAGCAATTATCAGGGCAAAATTCAAGATTAATATTTGAACTTACGAGTGACAGATTCAATGCGGGACTAACTTAATCGGATAGAAATTGAACCGACTCAAATTAAAATAGTAAGACGGACTCAATAAAAGTCGGCATGGTTGGATATACGTTGAATTGACTGACTCAAATTAAAATAGCAAGAAGGCAAAAATGACATGCTGAGTGTCGGCATGGCGGTTGAGTCGTTCAAGGTAGTGCTTACTGCCGTGAAGGCGAAAAAAATATTACATCATAAGCCTTGTTACAAAATTGTATCAAGAAGTGCACCACATGTACGAACCTACTCTATTGAATACAAAAAACTAAATAGTTTAATGTTTGACGATGCCGGATTGTACACGTGGTGCATTGTGATTGGAGTTCTGATGTAGTTTTGCATCAACACTCCTGATATAATATTTATTTGTGAAGTCGAGGGTTTGAATCATAAATATTATACTTTGAGCTCATTTTTTCTAACGAATGCATGAGGTTTTAGAGCTACAAATTATTTCAAATTGCTACAATTTAATTAAATGATCTAGAAATGAAAGATACAATTTAATTCTCAAATGTATGTCCTAATATCTTCGTCTGATTTAAATGAAGCAAGACTAGTTCAAAGCAACTTGGCAAATTAAGAGAGATAAATATAATTAAGATAAATGTTGAATCCAAATATGTTTGAGGGCCACGCCAAAACTCTATTAATAGAATTTATGAGTGTAGGGCCAAAAATTGATCGTATTGGACCGATAGAAAACCAAGAAGACTTTTAAGCTTCTTTGTCTAATTCATCAAACTAAGCTCGACAAGCAATGAGTATGAGCTGCCTGTCGAGCATGAGTTCTAGAATAAGAAATGCCAAATATGCAATGGTAAGAACATACCACTTGATGGCATTCTTTTATACGCTGAACCAAGGAAGGGTTTATTCACTGATCTCACCTTAAGACTTTGTTGTTTCTAGTCACACTATTGGATAAGAGCCTACTCGCTCCAAAGAAGAACGGGTCATCGAGCAAACTCCATAAAGGGGTTGGATAAGCTTAAAGATGTGAGCCGACAGAGTGCTCAGAGAACAAAAGGAGGAATATGATGTCATCGGAGGACGAAATATCATAGATAATATCGTTTACATGACATGCCAAAATAAGACTAAAGGGAAGTGACGAGAGATCCTTACAACTAATAGTAATAATCACCCATACATATTTTATAAGAAATACTTCATATATGAATAAGGAAAATTAATATTAAAAGGGCCATCCGATTGTGTTTTAACTTTTAAGACAACTATTTGTAACCTCGGAGAAATAATATAGCATTTCCTCTACAAGTCATTTGCTTCAGCTCACTCTTTCCTCCTTTAGTTATTGCATTAAGATGTGAATCCATGGACAATTCAGGATTTCATATTCTCTTGAAGTGCCACATAAATGAACGTAAGAAGCATAACTGAGTCATAAAGATGTGATGAGCAACATAGATTATACAATAGAATTTATCGCCTAACAAGTTAATGATCTAAGAGAATAAATGACGACAATTATTATGAAATTCTATTGAGAAGTATAATGCTATTGAGAAATTAGGATACAGTTGTAATTGGTTATATATTTCTTAAAAAAAGATTGTTTTATGAAATGTATATACATCCAAGGCATGTTAGAAGTTGTGAAATCTTCATATATGATGTATTTATCGTTATGTATGTAAATATTAGAAATAATAGATCGAGCATAAATGGAAAATTTTCCTCTTTCGTCGCGGTCATGCTTTATTCCTTGGTTCTTTGACTGTTTGACAGGGTCATAACAATAAAAATATTTTATCCAAAAAACTAAAATCCCCACACAATAGGCTTCTTTGATATGAAAATCTCTATGATGTTTTGAGATTCTAGAATGACAGCGTAAGAAAAAATCCTAACTTCATCCATATTTCAAATAACCTTCAACTTCTTATGTCATACCATCTTAGTAAATAACGAAATTCATAAAAAAATGTTCGATTTGTGTTTTTTTGGTATGTGGTTTGTCATAAGTTTTTTTGTTCTTCATGCTTCATGTCCAACATGGGCTATGTACACGTATAAATGGGCTCTTATGTTGCTAAAGGAAATTTTGGTAGATTAAACACTATTATATTTATTACAGAACTTTAAGAAATGATGATATTAGAAGAATATTTGAGAAACAACTTTTATAGTGTTACCTATTAACATTATTATATTTTACATATGTTAGGGTTTGTTTGGGACAATTTTTCATTTATTTGTTTTTCAAATTGTTGCCACACCTCATTTGATTGCTATTTTTTTGTCTCTTTCTAAAATATTTTATGATAGAAGTCTTTTTTTACAAACATATCTACTAAAGCGTGGTAACTGTAGAAAAATTATTTGTCTTTTTTCCCAAATAAAATTTTAAATTTATGAAACTATCAACAAATATCAAAGAAGTTATTTTCCTTGTAATAATTTAATAATCACTTTTTTAAAAAATTATAGCTTCCCAAACAAACTCATACTTATATATTTAATAAAATTTATGTTTAAGTCAGTCAATTTTTTTTTAAGGAATCCATGAAGTGTTAAACACATGAAATATTACATTTTATTAAAAATAATTATTATGTTTTAATATTTAAAATCTTTTTTTTTTAATAATATTTTTTGTAGACCTACATATAATATATCCATGAAGGCACATTATATATTTAAGTGATTGGGAGAGTTTTGAAGCTCGTGTGGAGCCTAAATGAAGTTGAATGAAGCCCAAATTCTTCTTAGCCACTAAAACATATCACCAATAATTGGCGGCAAAGTGTTGAGGTGGTTGTTGACTACAAGATTTGGAACATGAAATACTTTGTTGAGGACCAATGTGAGAGAAATTGAGTTATTTCGTTGTCTTGCAATAGTTCTTAATGATCTATATAAGATTTTTATTTTTTTATTGTTATTAAAGGTTTATAAATTTGAAATATATTGATAATATTTATCGCATGGTCATTGGCTTCAAAATCTAAGATATAGAACTGGACAACTTTATATGCCTTAAAAATATAAGAATTTCAAATCATATCATCCTCACCAAATTCTTAATTTATTAAATTTTTTATGAATCTAGTCCTTTTGATTTCGTTTTGCAAGCATGTGAAAAATTGAGATTTTTTTTTGCACTTTAATAAGTGGGATGATGTTGTTGTTTGTTATGTGTTTTTTAAAAATTATTCAATGAAATGCATATACATCTAAGGTATGCTAGGAGTTGTGAAGTGTTCATATATGATGTATTTATCATTAAGTATGTTAAAATTATAAATAATAGATTGAGCATATATGAACAATTTTTCTCTTTTGACACGATCATGCTTTCTTCCTTGGCTCTTTGAGTTGTTGGACATGGTCATGACAATAAAAACATATTGTCCAAGATACTAAAATCTCTACACAATTGACATCTATGATGAAAATCTACATGGTGTTTCAAGATGCAAGAATAACAATGCAGTTTTTTTTTTTTTAACTCCAACCATGTTTCAAGAACCCTCAATTTCTTATATCACACCATATTTGTCAATAAAGGAATTCATAAGAAAAAAAAAGGTTTTTTACTTGTTTAGTAATTTTCTACAGTATATCGAGTGTTAATCCAATGATCATTTGATACATCTTTTATGATAAACCCTTTTGTTGTTCATGCTACATGTCCAACATGGGTTATGTACACTTATAAATGGGCTTTTAGGTTGCTAAAGGAAAATTTGATATATCAAACATTAATGCATTTATTTTGGAACTTTAAGACAATCTTTATGCCATAACATGACAATGATAATATTAAAATAATATTCGAGAAAGAAACTTTTAAAGATATATCTATTAACAATAATATATTTTATATATGTTAGGGCAGTCAGGGGCAGTTTTTTTACTATTTTCTATTCAAATTATTGCCACGTCTTATTTGGTTACTGATTTTTTTTTATTGGTTTTTAAAAATTTTTATGATGAGAAGCCATTTTCTTATAAATAGATATGCTAAAGTGTGATAACTTTGGAAAAAAAATTATTGTTTGATTTTAAAAAAATATTAACAAATTTCAAGAAAAGGATAATTTTTTTTGCCATAATAATTTGATAATCACTCTTAAAAAAAGCCGTAACTTCCATAAACAAACCCATAATTATATATATAATCTAAATTAATTTTTTTTTTGAAAAGAATAAATGAAGTGTTAGGTGTATAAAATATTACATCCTATTAATAATAATCATTATATTATATTGTAATATTTAAAATCTATCTTTAAATAAGATTTTTTTAAGCACCGCACATAATATATAGATGAAGGAAAAAATATTACATGAGGACTCTGCACATAGAGTTACACGCGGAGTCCAATGAAATCATGCCACGTAGAAGAAAAAAAAATCTGTGGTAACACAAGAGAATATTCCTCCAGTATTATTCAGATGTTATTATGTGTTATTCATGTGTTATTGTGTGTTATTCAAGTATTTATTGTGTTATTATAACATCAAATAACATCAAAAATATTCTCAGAATATAATAACACCTGAATAATATACAAAAATATCTAAATAATACGAGGAGAATATTTCTTATGTTACCGAATCAATCACCTCCACAACATAACTTCATTAGACTACGAAATAACTCACATCACATGTGGAGTTCTTATGTAATATTTTTTCTGGATGCATACGCTTCCCAAGTATTTTATTCCTCTCAACTCTCAGGGTGTACTCGCTTTATCCTCTGTCGGACAATTTTTTCTGGAGAAAAGTAGCTTGGTAACCCATTCAAGTGACGTAGATTGATCAGCCCTATAAACCCTAATAGTTGTCATCTTCCTTTCCATGCTTCACTTCGATTATAAGATTCATTGCTCGAGGCCTACCTCGCTTAAATGCATGGCTTACATATTTATTTTTTCGCTTTTTAGTATTTTTTTCATTGCCTGATAATAAGATTCATTGCTCAAGGCTTACCAATCTATCTTGCTTTAATTCGTGCCTTATGAATTTATTTTCGTGCTTTTTGGATATTCTGTTTCTTCCTTGCTGACCAAAATACACATCTGCCCTCAATTTCCTGCATTTAGAATTGATAGATTACACATTGTGGCATATTAGGACAATATTAGGACGTAACTATGAAGCTCAAGAACTTTGAGAGACTTTCCATGTTTTTGAAACATACGCATGGTGATAGTACTTTTGCTTAATGGTGAAAATTCCACGTGAATGTGAAAATTTCACGTGAATGCAAAATGTTGCTGTGTCGGTTCTGAAACTGCCTTAAAGTTGTTTGTTAAAATATCTAATACAGCATTTTTGTTCTCTTTGTGATGTTGTGACATGGAATAGAACCCATATCATTCATTTAACCAATGAAGTGGTCCACTCAAGTTAGAAGCGTATGACATATTCAGACCTGCAGCGAATTTATCATACTGATTTTGTAATGTTTCCTAAATTTGTCATATACGTGTTTGTGCAATGTAGACTCTAGCTATCCCACCTCAAGATATTTACCTCGTGAAAGAATTTCAAATGTGTCTATCTCTTAAAAAATATGGGAATGAGATATATTCAGGGCGTAAAAAAGATCACAACTTGATGATTTTTTGCCAAACTTCATTGTAAGATGTTAAAAGTTGAAGTGATTAGATCAGTCCTTATCAATATTTATGTGAGTTCATTTTTTTATGCAGCTTTAGTGGAACATGCTTCTGACCAAGTCATCATGAAGAAAGCAATGCATGCTACATTGTTTTATACACCGATTTCTATGTACCATGGAAATGCTGCAGCATATCGGAAGTCCATTAGTATGCTTCATGATGCCCCTGCTCATTTTTGTCGAGTTCAATCTTTAAAGCAGGAACTAGGAATTAATGCAGAAACATGGTGTCTTGGTGGTAAGAATCATCCTCCTTGGTTCAGGTGAATCATTTTAGACCAAAATACAGCAATATATTCTTGCATGATATCTGGCTATTTGAACCAAGTTTCTCTTCTCTAGTGTCGCTCCAATGATGGACTGGACAGATAATCATTTTAGGACTCTTGTCCGCCTCATATCAAATCATGCATGGCTTTACACTGAAATGGTTGTGGCGGAGACAATTATTCATCAAAAACATAATTTGGTAAGGGATCCATCAGTGTTCTCAAACTAATGGTGGGTATTATTCATAGAATATACATAATTTAAAGAGGCAGTCTTGTTTAATATTAGTAATTGTAGCCATTGAGCGTGCAACCAAGTGGTTGCTCTTTTTTTAAGGGACTTTTGAGTTCAAATCCCTTGAATGTACTTGTTAAATTATGATTATCTGTTTATGCCTCTTATTTCTGCATAGGAGGTTTCTGTGCTCTTAAACTTGTAGAGAGGAAGGTTAGATTATAAACACTATTGCGTTACTTCAAGCATAATTATTTTCTTCACAAAAAATAAAGAATATTAGTACTAAAGAGTTTGCACAAGTAATCTGCAAGAAGGGCCATAATAAACTTGTCAGTTGTACTATGCTCATTTTATGCACAAATTTTTTAATACTCGGTAAACCTACTTAATGCAAGGAAGTCTTTTTTTTTTTAAGCTCGGGTGTAGAGTTTTTTTGCTTTTGTCTGTTTCACTGGGAGTTGATGGAAAATTGGAATGCTACTTTTAGAGTTTAATAATTCAGTCATGTCTATTCTATATGATTATGTTTGTTATTTAATCATGGTTATCGTTTTCAATGACATGTTACTGCAAAAATATCATTGGCTGTCCATCCTTCTTTGATAAGATCTATTCAAAGGGTAGTGATTAGCTTTTGTCACGTTTTATTTCATATTAAATTCATGTATGTTTCATTTCATCTTAACGACTTGAGAAGAAGAAGGGAAGGAAGTTTTGGCTCTCTTACCTTAGAGCTCTATCACCAATACGATGTGGAAGTAATTCTTCCTTAATAAAATGTCCAAAGGACGATGAGTATAAGAACCATAAAAGGGACAACTATGCATAAGCACTTCTGACATGAGGCGTGGTGCTTGAGTTGGGACCACTGCTAGTGGTTTTGTGGTTAATACCCCCCGTCCAAGCAACTGGAATTGGCCTTTGGGAGGTATATTTGTGAGTATATCCGCTGTTTGGTCCTTGGATGGTATGTAATGCAGAGTAATGGTGTTGGCACTGATATGATGGCGAAGAAAATAAAGATCTATCTCAATGTGTTTAGTTCTCGCATGAAAGATTGGATTCTTGGCAAGGGAGATCGCCGATACGTTGTCACGATGTAATGGTGTAGGTACAGATGAAGATATGCCGAATTCTTATAGGAGTCTTCGTAACCAGATAATATTGGTGGTGGCAGTGACTTAGGCTCGATACTCAGCTTCAAAGGAGGACTTCACACGGTCGTCTATTTCTTAACTATCCAAGAGATAGGTATGTGGGATTTCCTATCAGTGTGATCTTTAGCCCAAACTGCATCAGCATATGAGTGTAATTTTAAGCTCCTAAGATTTATTTGCAAGCCAAAATTAATAGTGCCCTTTAGGTAGCAAAGAAGATGGGTGAAATAGGCAAAATGTGCTTCTGTTAGCATTTGCATGTGTTGGCACGTCTGTTGGCACGACTGATTAAATGCATAGGCGATATCAGGTCTGGTGACGATGAGGTAATGAAGTGAACACAATATTGAGAATGCTCTAAAACCATGAAGACTTGAGAAGAAGGGAAGGAAACTTCGTCTCTCTTACCTTGGAGCTTTCTCACAAATTTCGTGTGGAAGTAGTTCTTCTTTAACAAAATGTATAGAGGACGATGAGTATAAAAACCGCAAAAGGGACACTATGCATAACCACTTTTAATATGAGTTGTGGTTCTTGAGTTGGGACCACTGCTAGTGATTTTGTGGTTAATACATCTGTTGGGGTGCTATGGTGATTTTGTTATTTGTTGTCTTTATGGTTGTCATGAGAGAACATGCTTGTAGCGGTTATGATTGTGAGTTTGAACATGTGGAAAAACAACACTTCAAGCAGGCTACTTCGGTTGTGATTAATGGCCGCAAAGGAGAGCGCATGAACGCCTGCTTCGATTGCGAGTTCCGTTGCAGTGGAATAACAGGAGCAGTGGCTTTGATCACGAGCAGCGGATATATATTATATATATATATTAAAAAGTCCAAGGACTAATATATTAAAGAAAAAAATGTACAAATAGGTTGTATGAGATGACCTAAAAGAAGACCAAACTCACACAATATACAACACACACAAAAACCTAAAGAAATAAAGATAAAAAAACTAAAAATCCACTAACAGGTGCAAAGGTGCTAGGGACGTCCTACTTTAGTTCTTCCTCTGCCTCTAGTTCTCGGAAGGGAGCCAACTAACAAATTGGTAAGGTGCGTACCATTACCCCAAGTAACTAAAATATCATCCATCAGATTTCTGAGTTCAAGTATGTCTCTATTCTTCTCCTTCCTCCTGGATGTGTAGACCTGCCATTCCTCATCTGAGGATTGACTCATTTGATCAATGGATTGGTCCAAAGGTGACTGGACAGGTGTAGGACCCCCTGAGTCTGAGTAGCATTGCCATCTTTCTCGATCTGATGGGGTGGTAGTGAAGCAACAGGTGGTAGTGAAGCAACAAAGGTGAAGCAACAAAGGTATTTTCACCTGTAATATCAGTGATAGGTCTAAGTGCAGACAGAGTTTGAAGAATCTCCCTCGCCTCCATGATAGGAGGTTCCAAAGACAGAGAGCTATAACAATGTGTGAAGACTGAATGGTTGATATATTGCCTACGGGAAGAATGACATCTTCAGGTGTATACTTTTGATGATCGATAGTGTCAATAACTTGAAGCTGATTAGAAGGAGTTGGAATCACTGCCTCTAGCGGAGTACTTTGCTTTTTTGGTTTTTGGTCTGAGGTGGGTGCTTTTTTGGTCTGAGGTGGGGATGTAGATGATGACATTAAGAACTGGAGTGGTCGAATATACGACAGTTCGAACAATATGAAGGAAAATGCTCAATTTTTACCTTCTGCCAATATCCATGATGCTGAGAACTGGAGTGGTCGAACATATGGTCGAACATACATCGAACATACAATAGTTCAAACAATACGAAGGAAAATGCTCAATCTCTACCTTCTGCCAATATCCATGATGTTGTGTGCCCAACCAAATTTCATCAGAAGCGGAATAAATAATGTCTCTTTCTACAAGTACTCTAGCTTCAGATGGACGAGAAAGATTAAAAGTATGAATGTCCATCTTGAGTGGCTTACCATAAGCTGAGATAATAAAATACAACACTTTTTAAGAAAAATAATGAAATTTCAGACCAGGAAGACGAATACAAACCGAAATGATTGAGGGTTCCGTCTATGGGTCAAAATCCACAGACAATTTCAGAATCTTCATTGCTCTGTTATCAATTCAGATTTACCTTCTAGCAAATAAGTGTGTATAATCTTCTTTATTATTAATTTGAATAAGAATGTGTCTCCCATCTAATAGTTCAATTTTTCACTCCCCAACAAGGTGCATAAGTTCAAATTCTGTGGTCACGATATATATATATATATATATAGACAAGTCTGTGGATAAATATATTATTAAAGATGATAATACAGAAAGATAGTTCTATAGGACCAACAAATGGATGCCTGACCCAGCTAAAAAAGAAAACAGAAACTCCAAATTTCAGGAGCCAAAAGTATGAAAAAATATTAAAATAAGCTTATAAAGAGAAATCAACAAGCCTAGGAAGAAAAGATTTGAAGATATCAGCGAAGCAATGCTTATGTAGTAGTTATCCCAGTTGCACTCCCAAGCATACGAAGGTAAACATTTCAAATGAATCTTCATAGCCAAAAAAAGAAAGCTATATCAATCCAAACAAATTCTCTAGAACAATCAAAAGTTTCCAAAGCAAACCAATGCATCCGGATTTGTGCAAGCATAATATAAGTTTGTAATGAACCAATTCGACCTCAATCAAGAATGTATGAAGAAGATGATCCAAAAAATTCATCCATATACCAACCAGCTGAACTCATGAAACCAACAAATGCTAATTTCATCCAGTATACAACAAACATGGCTTCCAATGTGTTTGGCGAAGCTGAACCCATAAATTCTTCATTAATCCATAGCTGTCAAGCTCAAGTAATCCAATAAATGCTAATTATCCAAGATGAAACTATCCAATACAGAAAATAAAAAAACAAATAGTAGCAAGTGGAAGATTATATGGAAGTAAAGAAAAGATGTAATAAACACAACAAAATGCCTGCATCTAAACAAAAGAGCCAGTCACCAACTAAATAAGCCAAAACACTTTATCTCCAGCATTAACATTGCCTGTTACAGCTTGAAAAAACAGTAGCTTGAGATAACCAAAGATGAGAAATATATCCAAAGCAAAACTGAGCATATCTCTTCGGGCTTCCAGCTAGTCATAATGCATATTGAGAATGTAAGCATCTAATAATTAGCTGAACTAGTAAAAAATCAAAGAGGTTAATTCCATCCAAGATACAACAATCCTACCGAGATAATACAAAGCACACAGAGACAATAGCAGTAGAAAAATTTTGACAGTAAAATAAAATCTGTAATAATTAATCCAAAACAGTTTGGATTTATCACAACAAAGTGTCAATTCTCCCAGCATGCTACATAACAGGTTTTTTATTTGAGTGAAGAATGCATTCAAACCGAACCGCGTATTTGTGTCCAAATAAAACTTTCCAGATTCTAGGTAAACAACATGCAAAGTAAAAACACATAAATGAAACTAAATACAACCTTATTTGAATAGCACTGCCCATAGAACCACTAAATCCAAATAGAAAATTAATTTTTGATGTAAGGAAGGTCCAGAAGGTCACCATGAAGTAAAATTTTGAGTTCTCTGGGAGGTAGTATACCAACATCCACACCCGGATGCCCCCTCTTAGCCAACCAATCAGTTGGTGAGTTTCTCTCCCTGTAAATGAAACTCCAAGTGATGTTTAGCATATGAGACTCAATAATATTCCAAATTCTGTTTAAACAAGAAAATAAGTTTCATTAAGGCTTCTTTTTCTTAGCTATATAGTCTAAGATAAGTGTAGAATCAATTTCTATTTGAAGTTGTGGCCAATTAAAAATTCTTGCAATAGAAAGAGCAAGCAGCACAACCCAACCTTCTGCTTCAATGGAAGAAGCAACATTAATAGGAGAAGAAAAATAGCATAAACATTGCCCCAACTGTTTTTTAAAAACACCACCAGCACCATCCTTTTTATCGGTCCAGCTCCCATCAATATTAACCTTAACCCAACCACAAAAAGGGGGCTGCCAACCTATTAACGTCAGCCTCCTACCCTCTCTTGGATTAGTCAAGGTAATTGATGTTGCTAAACATTTGCTAGCTTTAGCAAAATAAGATAATATATTAGTCACAGTCACACTAGGAGAGCTATTGGATATCACATATTTGGAATTGTTTCAAGCTCTCCAAAGAAACCAAAGAACCATCAAAGGAAAAAAAAAACGAATTTCTTTATAAAAAATAGGCTTCCAAGCAAAAAATAATTCTTCCACTGAATTCCATGAGTAGATAAAAACACCAAAATGCCTCCCTAATTGGAACCACACATCCTTAGCTAAAGGGCAATTTAAAAATAAATGCAATTCATTCTCCTCTGCCTCTTTACACAAATTACATTGAGAACCTCAAACTTTTTAGCTTTAAAATATCATCAAATGGTAACAACTTGTGAAAATGCCATAGAAAAAAAGAGATAGATGGGGATTGAAAAGCATCCCAAATCATGTTTCCCCATTTCCAATCATCAAAGTTATGCATGCTTGAATACAACATTTTAGCAATAGAGATGTTATTTTTATTTTTCCACAAAGGGGAATCCCTCCTATTAACATTTATTGGGATTCCCCAGACTTTTTAAATATTGGACTATTTTGGTCCCTGCTAAAAGGTTTGAAGACTAATTTGACACTTTTATAGGCCCTGAGACTAAAGTGATCTCATTGAATGGTCAAGGTATCATTTTGAAACTTGTTTTAGTGGAGCAATACCAAATTTTTGATGTTTACAATGGAAAGCTAAGGCTTATCACAAAATCCCTAGGGAGAGCAGGCTACTATTAGTGAGCTGGAAATGAAGTATGAACTTCTTCTAGTGAATAGTATGAAGTTGATGCATTTTGAAAGAGGTTGATATCTTAGCAGTTTTGAATGGTGTCTGCATTGGTTTGAAATTTAACTGGAAAGCAGAACAAAAGCCATGGATTCATTCAGTATTGTCTGATTAATCTTATTTCAAGTAGTTCGCAGTTAACAGAAGGGTCTAGTGGCATGATAAGGCAAGCGGTGTTGATGATTTGAAATATTTAACAACTCTATTATGCACCTTACTCCATATTCTTAAAGAAAAAATGACACTCAATAGGACACAATGAAGAAAAACAATTAATATAGTCGACCCCACTTAGTGGGATAAAGGCTTGTTATTGTTGTATTCCATATTCTAAAACTGTTAAATATACATATTTGTAGAAAGATATTTATTTATTGATCCTATGTTTATTTTTTTAATTTCTGTTCAAATTTTCAGAACAGGTTCTTGGCATTCTCCCCAGATCAACACCCAATTGTTCTCCAGATTGGGGGAAGCAACTTGGAGAACTTGGCAAAAGCTGCTGAACTTGCCAACTTATACTCTTATGATGAAATCAACTTGAAGTTGGTGAACCTTCTAAATGTACCATTTCTTACCATCATGTGCCTTTTCTTACATTCTTAAATTTATTCCCATAATTTTATCAGCTGCGGGTGTCCCAGTGGAAAAGTCGCTGGCCATGGATGCTTTGGTGCACGCCTTATGTTCAATCCAAAGGTTTGGTGTTTAACTTGAGAAATTCTAAGGCTTGTAAAAAGCTAATTATGTCTCCTATCTGTTTTATCTTCACTATCTCTTCTTCTTGATTTAAAATTCTTGTTTGCATTGTCGAAGCTTGTTGGTCAAGCTATGTCTGCTATTGCTGCCAATTCTGACGTTCCTGTTAGTGTCAAATGCAGAATAGGGGTTGATGATTGTGATTCATATAATGAACTCTGTAAGACATCATTTCAGTCCATTTTATTTTTCTATGTTGGTTTTACCACATTTCTTTTATTATTTCCTTTCAGGATCTCTCTGAATAGGAAAAATTAATTTTAGGGCATTCTTCTTGATTTTATAAATAGTCTTAAACAATTAAACTTTTGTACTCTAAATAAAAATTGCAGTGTATCCCTAGCTTAGGTTGTTTCTAGAGCTTTCTCATTTTTGAAGTAATCATGGTGTTTATCTTCTACCTTAAATCTTCAAAATTCAGGTGTTGTTGTAATCACGAATATTTAAATTATGTATTTTACAGTACCAATTTATTTAAAATGTTGCTTTCTACCTTGACGACCAGTACTTTTTTTCCTTGGAACTATTGAAACTTAAATATGATACAGAGTAGCACAAAATTTTTAAAGATTTCTCATATTCATGCAAAACAAGAGTTCTTTTCCAAGAGGACTTTTGAAAGTACTTATATTGCTATAAAATAATTTATTTTTGCCTTAAATTTTATTACTTCTATTTCTTTCAAGTCATATAATGCCTCCTATGCCTTTTGGGTGTCTCATTTTATGAGGCTCCAATGGCCTGTCTATTTCTGGGTTTTTTTTAGGTGGATGAGGTCTGTTAGCAATTATTGTCAGATTTCTAAATTTTTTTTCTTTGATAACATTGATCATGATTATTGTACTTCAATGTTTTCATTTGATTTTTTCAACTATTTTAATGACTAAGAGTTAGTCCTAGCCACACCTTTTGATTTATTTGTTCTTTTATCAGGCGACTTCATATCTATAGTTTCTTCTCTGTCACCCACGAAGCATTTTATCATACATGCACGGAAGGCATTACTCAGCGGTTATAGTCCTGCCCAAAATCGGAAGATTCCTCCTTTGAAGTATGTCAAATATGGTATTGTTAATTCAACTTGCAATTATTTTTCTTCCTTGTAAAAGATTGATTCATGAAATCAAATGATTCAGTTTTATATTGAATCTCTCATGGTTTATTCTGTTTGTCAAATGGTTATTTTTAACTCAATATTATGAATGAATCATACTGTGACAAAACTTTTCGTATTGAAGTTTGAAATGTGTTAGATGTTGACTTACTATCCATACACAAATCACATGGTGAGATTGATAGAAATCACACAACGAACAATTCCGAACTTTATCGGGGCTTACGATCAATTAGAAATTAAACCATACCGCGGAATTATGAGATCACACCAATTCGATAAAAAATCAGAACAAAAATTAAAACATAAGGATAAGCAAAATAACAAGATAAACATACGAGAATTTACGTGAAAAAACCCGAAAATGGGAAACAATTACGGAGCCACACTACAAAAATATTCACTATGAAATTCAGAAGATTTTACGAAGAATTCACACAAGTTTTCTTTCAACACAAAACTTACAAGAGGACTCTCTCCACAATCTTCTCCCTCCGATTCGACTCAAAAATCACGCTGAAACACGAAAATCAACTTCTTCGGCACTCCTCACATTTACCGGGATGATCATTAAAGAATATTTTAAGGAAGATACATCGAACCCTACCTTACGCCACTCAAAATCGGGATTAAAAACTAATTCCCGACTCCGATCGCTCTTGGCGCATAGGTGTCCGAACTTGGCGCCTATGCGCACCAAGCTCTCGAGAAATAGTCGCCTATATGGGCGCATATGCATCCAAAGCAGGCACATAGGAGCTGACTTCTCTGTTCGAGCAGCACGTAAGCGGTGTGCCCACAACTCGTCACTGTCCTGCTGCTCACCAAACTAGTCTTCACTCATAGCAATATCCCACTTGGAGATTGATTGTACTGAGCACCAATCCTCTGTACGTGCACCTCATCTGCATCACATTCATAGTCACGTGCTGTGGTCACGTACTTTGGTGTGACTCACCCCTATCTCAACCTGCATGAAACCCAACTGAAGCCAAACATAACTTCAGTTTCTCAACAGTCACCATCTTTGTCAACATATCCGCATGATTCTCAGTTGTACGTACCTTTTCCAGACATAACTGTGTATCTTCCATAAGAGATCAAATGAAATGATACCCGAGCTGGATGTGTTTTGTCATGAAATTCTTAGCAAGATGAATCACTCTCATACTATCATTGTAGAGCCTTCCAATTTCTGCTTCTTGCCCAATTCTGCCATGAAATTCTGTAGCTAAATCATCTCCTTGCTGGCATCAATAATAACAACATATTTAGTCTCTGTAGTAGAAAATGCAACGATCTTCTGCAACCTAGAAACCCAACTCACCGTTGTGCTCCCCAATTTGAAGATATTCCCCGTTGTACTTCTTTTACTGTCACATCTCTCGCCAAATTTGAATTTATGAATCCCTGTAGATTGATCCTTGCACTTCCATAACAAAGTACCCTGTTGACTGTTTCCCTCAATTACCTGAGAATCCACTTTAACTCCTCCCAATGATGCTTGCTTGGATTGCCTATATACCTGCTGACCACTCCCACTGCATATGCATATCTGGCCTGATATAAATCATTACATACATTAAACTTTCAAGTACTGAAGCATACAAAGTTGTCTCCATCTGTGCTTGTTCTGTTTCAGAGTTAGGTGATAGCTGCTTAGATAGTTTCAATAACTACCTAAGGGAGTGCTGATTGGTTTCGCCTCACTCGTGTTGAATCTCATTAGGATCTTCTCAAAATACTCTGCCTGAGATAACTTTAGTGTTCCTGCACTCCTGTCCCTGTTGATTCTCATCCCGAGGATCTTTATGGTTGGACCAAAATTTTTCATCTCGAACTCACTTGATGAATGTTTCTTCAAGTCCCTAATTTTCTTTATATCTGCCCCTGCAATCAACATGTTTTCCACGTACAAAAGAAGCAAAATATAAAGTTACCAAAATGTTTGATGAAACAACAGTGGTATGCTTGATACTTCATGTCCTCGTGGTCTAACATGAACCTGTCAAACCTCCTGTACCATTGTCTCAGGGCCTGCTTCAATCTTAGAGACTCTTCTTCAATCTGCAGATCAAACATGCTTTGCCTGAAACCTAATAACCTTGTGGTTGCATCATGTATAGCTCATTCTCTGGATCTCCATGTAAGAAAACTGTTTTAACATCCATCTGCTCAAGATGTAGATCTTCCTCTGTCACCAGACTCAGCACAACCCTAACAGTCGTCATTTTTTTCCACTGGAGAGAAGATCTCTGTGTAATCCACTCATTCCTTATGCTGGAAACCCTTCACAAGAAGGCTTGGCTTGTAGCACTTGCTATCTCCTGACCCCTCTTTCAGCCTGTGCAGTGCTTTTTTGCCATTTGGTAATACCGTCAAATCTCAAGTTTGATTTGACTTAAATGATTGCATTTTTTCATCCATCACAAGCTCCCACTCCATTGAATCTTCAACTTGAGTGACCTCCTCAAAACACTCTGGTTCATCACTCAAGTAGTAACAAATAGTCTAAAGAGCAGAATACCTGTGTACTGCTGGATCTTTTCACTTCTGTAGCAGACGACTTAGGAACTTCCAGTGCTCCTTCTGGTTGAGCATTTGTTTTTTCTCCATCTTCTTAATCGCCGATATCTTCTATTTCAACATATATGGATTCTTCAGAAGTAGCTGATAGACTATCTCGAGAACCCCGTCCTTGTACATCTCTTTTTCTTTGAATGTGACGTCTCTGCTTCTAATGAATTTTTGATTCTGGTAATCCCAAAACTTGTACCCAAACTCATCTGAGCCATATTAAATGAAGGTGCACTTGATAAATTTTGATTCAAGCTTGCCCTTGGAAGGTGCACTTGATAAAGTTTGAGTCAAGCTTGCCCTTGGACCCTGCATCAACATGCACATATGCAAATCACCCAAATACTTTTAAATAAGATAGATATACCTTTTTATCACTCTAGGCTTTTTCAGGTAAGTTTTCCTTCAAAGGTACTGATGGATTTCAGTTTATCGGATAAACTGCAGTATTAATTGTTTTTGCCTAAAACTGTTTTGGCAAGCCTGCATGCAGCCTCATGCTCCTAGCACGCCCCAGATTGTTCTGTTCATGCGCTCAAATAAATCATTCTGCTGCGGTGTCATTGGGACAGTGAACTCATGCTTGACCCCTTCTATGTCGCAGAAATTCTCGAACTTCTGATCGGTGCTTACCTCTATTATCTGATCTGAGACACTTCAGCTTCAAACCTATCTTACTTTCTACCATAAGCTTCCATTTCTTAAAGACTTTTAATACATCAGATTTTTGCTTTAAGAAATAAGCCCATACCTTTCTCGTGTAATCATTGATAAACATGACAAAATAGCGAGAACCTCCAATGGACTGAACTGGATGGAGTAGGACCTCATACATCAATCAATATGCACTAACTTTAGTTTCTTTGATTTCACCACTAACCTGCTTTTGGAGAAAAAAAATTTCTTCTACTTGCCATATGTACAACATTCACAAAAATTCTAGATCAACAAATTTCAAACCCTGAAGTTTATTATTCGAAAGTAGGGACATCATACTTTTCTTGCTCATATAGCCAAGCTTACGGTGCCACAAACTTGCATCCACCCTGGTTCCAACCACATCAATGAAATCAACCATTTTATTGATCAAATAAAGGGTGTTTTCAATATGCTCTGAGCCATCACTAATGCCCTCATGGTCATTTTCCATGAATCACCTGTGAAAGTAGCTACTGGTCCTGACTTTGCCAACTGGCTCACAGAGATGAGATTTCTCTTCAAATTTAGAACATATCTAACTTCAGTAAACCTTTAGACTGCTCATCAACATTATATCAAGATCGCCATTTCTTATTATATTGCAAGCCTTATTATCTCCCAAATAAACTTTTTCTAGATCACTCTGAGTGTAGTTTTTAAATACCTTTTTATTTGGGCAAACATGAAAAGGGCACCATAATTCACTATCCAAGATTCAATACTTACTAGGGATAATACCAAGAGTCACTTTAGATTTCACCTGTAGAGATATTAGTATAGTAACAACTTTCTGTCCACCACCTACTTTCCTTGGAGCTTTGCGGTACTTTTGAAATGTCCCTTCTTACCACCGTTCCAACATTCTTCAATGCTTGACTTGGGCTTTCCTTGGACTTGGATCTGCCTTTGTCTGTATTCCTGCCCAGATTTATTCCTTTGTTATCAGCATTCAACGCAGAACCTGAAGATTCACCATTCACTACTTTTTTGCGAACTTATTCATTTAGCATCAGACTCACGATATCATTGAAGTTCAACTTCAAAGTCTCTGAAGAACTACTCAATGCCTTTACCAAGGCATCCCGACTTTCTGTTAATGAAGATAGTATCATCAATGCTTTGACCTCATCATCAAACTTGATCTCTATGGAACACAACTGAGTCGTCACAGTGTTAAAGTTATTGAGATGTTCTGCCATTGAACTGACTTCCACCATCTTCATGCTGAATAACTTCTTCATGAGTAAAACCTTATTGGAAGCAGAAGTTTTTTCGTACATCTTGGCCAGTGCTGCCATGGGATCTATTGTAGCTTTCTCATCATAATGTCGAACGCAACAGATGTGGAAAGTGTCATTCGATCCGACAATTCCCATTTCTCCCTAGACATAAATACAGACTTCTTTGTAATTCCTTATAGTAACAAGTATAATTTTTTCTGATATAACAAATCCTCTACCTGCATCTTTCAGAAAATGAAATTCGTCCCATTGAACTTCTCCAACTTGAACATTGTTTCTTCTACCATTGCTCCCACTCATATCGAACCCCGCTCTGTTACCAGTTGATAGGAATCACACAACGAAGAATTCCCAATTTTTTCAGGATTTATGATCAATTAGAAAATAAACCACACCGCAGAATGATGAAATTATACCAATTCGATAAAAAAGGTGGAGTAGAAATTAAAACAGAAGGACAATCAAAGAAACCAGATAAGCACACGAGAATTGACGTGGAAAAATAAGAGAACGTGAAAAAATCGCGGAACCACACCATCAGAAATTTTTACTTTGAAATTCAGAAAGTTTTACAAAGAATTCACACAAGTTCTCTCTCTAAACACAACAAAACTTACAAAACTCGCTCACAAATTTCCCTCTCCGATTCAACGGAAAAATCACGTCGAAGAATACCGAAGAAGATACATCAAGCACTACCTTACGCCGCTCGAAATCGGGATTAACAACCAATTTTCGACACCAATTGCTTCTGACATATAGGCGCCCGAACTTGGCACATATGCACCAAGTTCTTGGGAAACAAGCGCCTATATGGGAGCATATGTGCCCAAAGCCGGCGCATAGGCGCCGACTTGTCTGTTCGAGCAACACCCAAGTGAACGCTTAAGTGCCCACAACCCGACGCATAGGCACCGGGTGCTCTGTCTTTTTGCTTATCAAATTAGTCTCCACTCATATCAGAGATATATATTAACGTGTGAAAGCTTGAAACATGTCACGTATTCTTATCTTAGGTTGTATTGCGTTGGATAGTTGGCTGTGTAAGTTAATGCATGTGCTAAGGAAGCATGGCATAATTTTGATATTTTTGAAATATCTGAAGGAATTAAGAAGAGGGAAAAAATAAAGGAAACCATAAGAAGTTTGTTTTCAGGGGCTCGAAGTATCATCTCAATGAAATGATGGTCTTTTTTTAAGGAACTTTTGAAGTGAGCAATTTTTTTTTGTGTTTCCTCATTTCTCTTTCTTTGTATTTCTTCCAATATATTTTTCTCTTAATCGTTTTATGGGACTTGAGGATTGATTTTCTATTTCTTTGTTGAGTACGGTTGTAATCCAAGTTTGGGATGAGTGGATGCGTGTATTTTTATTATATAACATGATTGTTGCATCTTTATTAGTAGGTAGTATCTCTCCATTCTTATATATGTACGCTTGCTTGAGTCGAACCATGTGAATGTTAGTGTTCTCCTTTTCATGGTGTTTGATCTCTTTTACAATTCCTTTGTGATTTATTGTAATTGCTATTGGGGTGACGCTTCAGTAATACAAAGTAAAGCGTCGTCTTTACTTAACATCGAAGTCATGCTATAACAGTTTACTCAACATCAAAGTCATGCTATAACAGTTTAATTAGTCGATAATAATCCATAAGCAAACTTTTGCTTATCCATATGATTGCACTCATGAAGTGTTATTGTAATTCTCTTTGTTGCTCTTTTTCGGCCACTCAATCACATTTCATTCCTTTTTGCTGTTTTTCTTTCTTAGAATACTGATCTGAAGTTTTCACTTTCAGCTTCAGCTTTTTGTGCTCTCTAATCTGTTTATTGATAATGCTGTACCTCTTACAATGCACTTATTAGCCTTTCCTAACATTACAAATAATAATTATGATAAGCGAAGTCCAGTTTTTTCTACATTTTTTCATCCTTTTTAATTAATGTTCTGATGCCCTTGTTCTGGCGGATTTCGCTGGTTTCTTTCTTTGTTGTATTGGTTTAGGAGAATTAAGAGTTTATCCATGTTATGTACGCAGAAATCAGTTTCAGTTTAAAGTGAGTTGAGATAGAAAAGGATTGCCCATAAAACTTATACTTACATAAACTAAAACTGTGTTAGTAAATTTTAAGATTAAAATTTCATAGTCAGAAATGAGTAGATCCTAGTATAGTTAGGTTTTACTGCAAATTTTAGAGACTAATCAGTTCTTTAAACTGATCATTCTATTTTTATTTTTTTCCAAGTAGAAAGTTTGAAGATTTGCCAAATTGTTATGCCCTTATTATGTAAAGTGCATATTCAAATTGTTTTATATTGTTTTTTATTGTTCACAAAACTCTTGAATATGCCTTAATATGTGAATTGCATATTCAAATTTGTTTTAATTGTTCACGGCTCTTTTATTTATTTATTTATTTTTTTGTGGTTGTTTGCATGATTTATTAAACGGGAAGTGCAAATTTTTTATGTGAAATAATTTCATGAAGGAGTGCTTCCTTTGTTTTCTTCAGTTTCATACTCTGGCTTCTCTTTCTAGGTAATCTTTTAGGTTTTTATCTGAACAGCACCTTCCAGAATTTAAGGTTGACATATTTACCTACAGATACGAGTACTATTTTGCCCTACTACGTGATTTTCCAGAACTGCAGTTCACTCTAAACGGTGGCATCACTTGTGTCAATCAGGTAAAGATTAAATCAGGGTTTGATTTTAATTTATGGTGGACCCACTCTGGGAATTCCTCCCTTTCTTTCCTATTGCATGAATTTTTTTCTCAACTTTATGTGCCACTTTCTTTTTTTTAAATATCATACGTAACACGTGATCTTTTTTTTAATAACCAATGTTACTTATGCCACCTATTTAGCTATTTATGTTATGGTTTACTTTTGCTTTATAGTTTGAGATACCGATTTGGTGAGAAAGACTATGTAGCACCGACACTTATAAAATTATGCCGTACCCATGTCAGACACGTATCAGATATCGACACTTATTTAACACATCCCAACACTTGTCCGACATTATAAAATATATGTCTGAATTTTTTCGAGCTCAAACACATCAGGGATAAGCCTCGACACCACATCAGATATGAGCTCAACACAATTTGGGTGACAATGAAATGTAAAAAATTATAAATATATGTATAACCATAATTATACATTATAGTCGAAGCCGCCTCCTCTCTCGTCATATCAAAGCTCTCTCTAACATTCATCAAAATCGAGTATCGAAAGTGCATCCAATATTCGTCGAAGCCGAGCATCAAAGTTTCATGTTGCATTCGTCTAAATTGAGCATTGTAGTTATATTTTGTTCATCAAAGTCAAACCTACACCCGCTAAAGCGGAAGTTGTAATTTCCTTTGTTGCAACATGAGTAGGAGTCAAACCCGTTTTTTGAGGCCGATCCAAATACCCACAAACTTTGTGATGCTTTCATTAAAATTTGTATTTGCCGAAGCCAAGTGGATTCAAAACCGTCTTAATTTTGTAAGCGATAATTTATATTTTTTTCACTCGTGAATGAGTTAACGGTTATAAATTCATACTTATTCTAATTCTAAAAGTTAAATTTTATCTTATTTAATTAAAAAAGTAGGATATTTTGAATTTTAGTTGATAAGTTGGAGGAATTCTTTTGAAACATATTATAAGTCTTATTTTAAAAATTAATTTTCATAAACATGAGGTTTCACAATACAAATTATAGATGTCTTTAATAAAGGATAATGACAAAATATACACTTTACATTAATAAATAATTAAATATTTAAACGTATCCATGACATTTGCCTTTTTTTTTCAATTATCTGTGTCGGTGTCCCGTTTTCTTGTTCCTGCTTTTTAGGAAAAAGATTTATGGAACAATATGTCCATTGATGATAGCTTGAATTATTCCTCTTTTTTGAATGATTGCTTCCTCTTTCTATTTTCTTTTTCATCTACTTTGTCCTTCTTATAGCCCTCTTTTACTCTTACAATTAATTCGACCTTCCCTTGATTGCTTGAGTAGAGAAAGAAAGCTAGAGAGGGAGGGAGGGAAGGAGTATGTTGTGTTGATACCTAACGCAGGGGGCTGGGAGGGGGGCGCGAGGCGGGGACGTCATTGTGGAACGCGAGCGAGGAGAGTCCGGCTGAACTGGCCTGGGGCGGGTTCCGATTGAACCTGTTGGGGCTGGTACGGGCTGAACCGGTTGACATTCTTATGGGAGGGATGTGCTGCTCTTGCCTCGCCTTCCTTTGCTTTCCCTATTCCTGCATCCCTTGCCTTTCTTGGAGCCAAAATTTGCCGCCCACTTTGCCGCCCATTGTTTTCCCTCTGTCCCTATCTATTTATACATATGTTTGCTAGAATCACGGTTAGTTTTTTTGCTTGTTTCAGAGTTTCTCTTGGAGTCTTCTCCTCTTCCTAGGGCTGTATCCGATGATGGACAGTGCTTCGGCTGTATCCTATTTCGAGATGGCGTTGTATCCTCCTCTGTCATCTTCTCTAACCCTTCTCCTACGCCTTCCTTAGCCGCCAACCATCCCCTTATCTGCCGCCTACCTCTACTGTCGCAAATCTGCTATCCAACCTTTCAAAACCTGCTGCCTAGCCTTCCAAGCGCCCACATTCACTCCCCCAACCTTCCAACTGCCCACCTGCATTCCCCCAACCTTCCGGAACCTGAGTCCAGTCAAAATGTGCCTTCTCCTAGTTGTGCCACCTGTTTTCCTACACTTCTCCCTGTGGTCTAGCCCTCCAACCATCATCCCTACCTTCCCTAACCACTACTGCAACCTCTTCTTCCTCTCATAGTTCCTTCCTTTCCACTACTACATCCCCCTCGCGGACACCATTGTCGCCTGAGATCTTCTTATCTGACCCTAGCCAGAAATTAATGTCTGTTGCAATTTCCTTTTAGTTGAGTATTGTTTGTAATCCTAACCAGTTGATTAATAAAGTTTGCTTCTGTTTCTGCTGATTTTTGAACTGTTTCTGGTTTCATTTGTATCAGTGCTAGCCTAACTCTAATCCTATCCTATGGTTTCTTAGCATCTTCCATAAACCAAAAATTTTCTTTCCTACCACCAAATACACTTTCCATTTCCACAAATTCCAAACTCTAACCATGCCACTAAGAAGATATATGCCCAATCCCACCCAGGAAGAGATACGATGAGAGCTATGCCGCCTTCAATAGAGGCTTGCAAAGATTGTTAAGATGACATGAGGAGAGCTTACCCTTGACCGAGATCTGGAGAGTCGAAGGGGAGAGAGGAGGATCTGAATCCATTCCAAAGAGAGAATTTCAACGATGAAGAAGACAAGCTACGTTGTTTCAGGATCCAATATCAGAGGAGGCCTAGAGAAGGGTATCCGAATTCTTTCCATGCAAAGAATTGTAGAAAGGAGATATCATTGAGAGGGCAAAGAGACTCTGACATCAAAGTGGATCTGCCAGAGTTTGAGAGGCATGGATCCAAAAGAATTTATTAATTGATTGCAATTTGTTGAACGGATCTTCGAGTATAAGGATGTGCTACAGGATAAGAGGGTTAAATTAGATGTTACAATGACGAAAAATACTTCTTTATAGTGGGAGAACTTACAGTGATAGAGGAAAATGGAAGATAACAATAAGATTACGAGGTGAGAGAAAATGAAGAAGACGATGCAGAGGAAATACCTCTCACCCCATTACAACCAAGACGCGTTTCTGAGGCTCCATCACCAGTAGAGGAGTTCACAAACTAGTTTGATTAGTTGCAGATGAGGTGTGATTTGGTCGAGCTAGAGGAGCACACCATAGCTCATTTTCTGGAGGGGTTGAAGCCAACTATTAGCAATGTGGTGCAACTGCAATCTTATTTGTCACTTGGAGATGTTCTGACTCTAGCCTTTAAGACAGAAAGACAACAGAAATAAAGACGGCGGCAGCCGTCCTTCAGGCAACATCTGTCAGTAAAACAGTCATCTATATTTACCACGACCGACACGGGTACCTCAGGAGGAACTTGTAAGTTTGGACAAGGAAGTGACACGCCGAATTAGAGTGAGAAGAAACAGGAGAAAGATAGCTCTTCCAATACAATAACAACCAGAAAGTGTTTCAAGTGACACGACAATGGCCATATAGACTCCAACTTACCCACGAGCCGAGTAGTCAACCTCACCGAGCGGGGAACTATGGAGGAAGCTTGTAATGAGGAGACATCTGTGGACTAGTGTGAGGTGTATCATCTTCCACCAGATGAAGGGGAAACACTCGTAATTCGAGGGGTCCTACAGACTGATATTGATACAAGGGATTCACAGTAGCTTCGCTACAAAATATTCTACACTTGGTGCACCGTGAACTGGAAGGTATGTAGTCTCATCATTGATGGAGGGAGCAGTAAGAACGTGGCGTTGACACAAATAATTGATAAGTTGGGCCTTATGACTCAGAGACATTCCCACTCGTATTCACTGACGCGGCTTTGGGTCAACATCGATCGAAAATACTTACTGTGATTTTCAATTGGGGTTCAACTGCATGATAGGGTGTGGTGCTACGTTGTCTCTATGGATGTCAGCCACCTTTTGTTGGGGAGACCATGACAGTTTGACCGAAGGACTCAACAAGATGAATTCAGAAACACTTATTACTTCACCAAGGATGGGAAGTACATCTTTCTAGTTTCTTTGGCGGAGCCCATGATCATAGGAGCCCTCACCAGCAGAGCAGTCTTGGTGGAATGAGTTTTGGTGACAATAGAGGATGATGAGATTGCGATATCAGCTCTATACACAGGACATACACGACATTAGATATTTTAGGATATCAGGGTTTATATCTTACCACCATCGCCACCACCGTGCGGAAAGGCTCAGGTTACCTCCACTTCAGGTGTGATTTAGTCGACCGTGGATGAACTTGGGAGTATTCAGCAACAGAGACGGGGGATGTACTTCAGTTCAGTAGTAAACTCCTAGAAGATTGGACCGATGTGCTCGTAAGTTGGGAAAGACCCTCGGGTATCTTGGAGGACGATGCGGTAGCCAGTGGGATCTAAGTGCTTCTAGGAGTACCAACGAAGAACTGGAAGCTTCGATAAATGAAGTTAAAGCTCCCCCAATGCCGAGCGATTAATATGAGGGCTTGGAGGGGGACGCAAGTGCGGAACACGAGCGAGGAGAGGCCGGTTAAACCGTCTTGTGGCGAGTCCGGCCCAGCCTTCTGCTGGACCGATTGACATTCTTAGGGGCGGGATGTGCTGCTCTCGCCTCGCCTTCCTTTGATTTCCTAATACTCACATCCATGGCCTTTCTTGGAGCTAGAAATTGCTGTCCACTGCGTCCCCCTCTTTTCTTTTTAGTTTCCTCCTATCCCTATCTATTTATATGTATGTTTGCCAGAATTAGGGTTAGTTTTTTGCTTGTTGTTGTTTTAGAGTTTCTCTTAGGGTCTTCTCTTCTCCCTGGTTGTATCCTATTCCGAGGTGGTTTTGTATCCTCCCTTATCATCTTCCCTAACCCTTCTCCTACGGCTTCCCTAGCCGCTGACCATCCCCTTCCCTGTCAGCTGCCCTGTCACCCACCTCTATTGCCTCAAACCTACTATCTAGCCTCCCAAAACCTACTGCACAACCTTCCAACCGCTCAGCTGCACTTCCCCAGCCTTCCAGATCCTGAGACTAGTCAACACGTGCCTTCC